ATATATATATATATATATATATATATATATATATATATTTTAGTTTTCAGGCACTGGGCTGAAGACCCACAGATAGTCTATGGTCTATCCTCTGACAGTCTGTGGGTGGGTAAGGTACTAAATCTGTACAATAATCATGATCACTTACCTATCATTTAAGTTACTGTAGTAGTTGGAGGGTCAGTTGCCTTTCACTACGGAATTAGGAAAACTCCTGAGAAGAGTAGGTAATAGTTGAACTAGGTATGACAAGATGAGCCTTGTGACGAGTATGCTCATGGAAGGGGACGGAGCAGAGGATAAAGGGAAAGTTCTTGGTTGAAATGATGGCTTTGTCTATGAGACATGGTTGGTGGTGATTGGATGGAGGACTTGGCAAGCTGTGCTAAATAATTTATTAATAAGAATTATGATTGAACATGGTATCCAGAACTGTGCTAGGCAGTCTCCAGCTGCACTAGTCTGCTCGCATAAAGATGGACAGTCTGAGAACATTATATAGGGTCACTATGAATGGGAATCGAATGGATCGCAGGAGGTTTGTAGTGACCTTCAAGAGACACCTCATGACTGCGTCATTTCTCTCTCGTGGTGACCTCACGTGTTACAGAGTGGGACTGCTATATGGGGTTTTCTTGGCTGTAATATTAACAGAGGTAGATGGTGAGGGTTTTCTTCTACAATCCCACTGAGTCACTTCGAATTGCCAGCCTGGAGTTAGTCGTTGAGTGCACACTGTCTGTGCCCCTCCAGGCCCCCGCACAATGACAGGCTCTAGTATCACTAGTGTTGCTTGATGAAAAACTGAGGCCTGAAGGAGAACTGTTTAGATAAATGTTTGACAAGAAGTGAATCCCACATAATGTAATGCCTTTAACCATTCTCTCTAGGCTTTTTAGACAACAGTATAAATGATCAGCACCACAGAATAGCTAAATTAAAAAAAAAAAAAGCAGCCACTACCACAATCCCAGGGCTGTCCATCTGAGAGAGAGCCTTCGCAGCCTGGAAGCACAAAATGATGCAGACATCTGGGTCTGCCAAGGGTCTAATCTGTTACAGAACACACATTTTTTATTACAATAGAAACTCATGTGTATTGTAAAACAGAGCTGTTCAAAGAATACAAATAATGTCTAACCTTATACACAAAGATAACACAATGAGGAACTATTTTTTCCCAAATTTTCACATCCGTATACACACATATTTAAAATTATGTGCACGACCGGTATCCTGCTCATTTTATTACTTCATCTTGAGCCCATTTTGGACATTTTCTTAAAGAAAACATTAATATTTTCAAAGTTATCAAGTATCCATTCAACTGATAAAATATAGCACTCTTACTACCTAATCATTTACCTTGTATATCTAATTTCATATCCCTTTTTTCCTGATGGAAGGCATCCTGGAAGTCTAGTGGTTATGCAGCAGGCTGCTAACTGTAAGGTCAGCAGTTTGAAACCACCAGCAGCTCCACAGGATGAAGACTAGGCTTTCTACGCTTATAAAATTTGAGTTTTTCTGACTTTAAATACACATACTCAGGTATTCCATTTCTAAGATTCATCCTACACAGACACTTGCATGAACCATACTATGTCCTTTCACTGCAGTATTGATAGCAAAGGGGGGCTAGAGACAGCCTGTATGTTCAACCCCAAGGCACTAGTTAAATTATAGCACATCCATATAATGGAATACCAATGCAGTCATTTAAAAGAACTCCCTGTGTCGATCAAAAGTAATGGCCAGAATATATCAATAAGTGAAATATGTGGGGGCAGAAAAAGGATGTACAGTACGGGCATAAGCAAAATTGAAAAAGCATTCAAACCACTGGAACATAAAATCATATATTGTGCTTTCATCTGACTATCTTATCTCCAGATCACTTGCACTTCAAATTGTTATAAAAAGCTCCCAGGAGACAGTTATTTGGAGAACTCATTCTGAAACATATTGTGCAGCATTTCTACTTGTCCTCTCGCCAGAAGTCAGCTCTTCAAAGACAAGCGTGCAATCCAATTACGGCCTGGCCTCACCCCCTGTCCGCGGGAATGCCCTTAGAACATACAACTCACTGTATTTGTAATCATTTGAACCAAAACCAAACTCCCTGCCATCAAGTCGATCTGGAGTCACAGCAACCCCACAGGTCAGGAGAGAGCTGCCCTGGGGGTATCCCAGACTGTAACAGTCCACAGGAGTAGAAAGTCACATTTTTCTCACTTAGTGGCTGGTGGATTTGAACTGTTGACCTTGTGATTAGCAGCTCAATGCATCACACACCAGGGTTCCTTGTATCAGTATGTCCCACCTAACATTTGTAGTACAATTTTTGTTTGAAATTTGATCTGTTTTGTCCAAGTGGCGAATGTTTTTCTTGTGAATAAACTTAGATTTGGGCATTATTCATGAGGTTCTCAGCTTCATTTTGGATTTCAGCAAGGTTTGGAGTTGCAGGTTGTGGGGTGGGGGGCGTAGGGGGTGGTAAAGCCTTTTACTATTATACAGACTAATGGAGCTTGATTTCTTCTCCTGTGTTAGTCACAAGAGGCTTATTTTCAGTAGTTCTCTGAAAAGTAAATAAAGTTGTAGAGCTATTGTAAAATAAAGCCGTTTGTTTCTCTCTCGCTTATCCATCGATTCCCCGTCTCTAGTGGGTTCCGACTCGTGGTGGCCCTACGTGTGCACAACAGAATGGCTCTATAGGGTTTTCAAGGTTATGAGACAAACTGCCGTCGATGTGCAGGGGGTTCTATTACTTACCGTTTGATTTTTAAAAAATCATTCATATATCTAATTATTTGCACCCATTAAATGCCCTACTATTTTATTAGGTTAACAGAATTTGATGGAGAGAAGGAAAAAAGATTCCCCTGGCAAGTTTTGACACCAGAGACCTTTATCAACGGCAGCCATCCATAGGTAGCTGGCTTCCCACACTCTTCTTTGTTCAGTTGCTCTGGGAACAAGCAGTGCTCTTGGAAGACTCTTGTAAGAGATCCTTTTAGAATGATTTTGTTATTTCAAAACACAAAGGTGTTTCTAACTTTTTTCTCTCTTTGAAGGGGGGGTGTTCTTTATGATCTAAATTATAGAATTAGATTAAATTACTGATGAAAGCCCTGGGACTGGATGGACAAAGCGAACAAGGATGACAGAATAGACGTCAATTGGCTATTAACAAAATGGCAACTGGCGGACTACTTGCTGGTGTTCATTTCTGAGCTTAAAAAGGGAGCAATCTTTGGCCAAAGAAAATGATTGAGGGAGATGAAAGATCTCTCTGCAGGGAACAGGGAAGGAGGTTGTAAGAGCTTCTAAAAGCACACAGGAACTAAGGGAGGTGAGTTAAATGGTTCAAGGTCAATTTGGAAGAAATGCTGTTTTGAGTTGGCAAAACATTTTAGTGCTCAAACTGGTAGAACTATACTGGCTCACTATTAACTTTATTAAATGATTCAGAAAACATATGTTGCAATTAAGTAGTTATTCAATTTATTTCATTTTAGTCATCAACTTCAAAATAACTAGACCCAGATTGTGACAAGAGTTATACCTACACTTTAATGGAGAGAAGCCAGCATTGCTCAGGTATTCTACTAGTCTAAATCTTAGGATGCAAGATGTTGTTGGTAAATCAAGTCATAGTTAAGATGCCTGAAGGAGATTTGTGCTAAGTCTTACTGCCAGATGAAAGTCTGGTCACTTTCTATTTGTGCAACTTTGGCCAGATTCATCATCATCCCTGTGCTGTTTTCTCATTTGTAAAAGGGTAGAAGAATTCCTTCCTCAACAAAATGGTGAGGGCTTAACAAGAGAAGGATAGAGGGCACATGATAAGGTCTTAAGGTTCTTAGGGGTCATTTA